CGCTGTGATCTCCAGCTCCTCCTGGTCAGCAAAGCGCTCCAGCTTCCATAGGCTGGGCAGGACCTACCTGCCCTGCCGGCTTTCTCCATCTATTTTTATGACTTAGTAATCAGAATTTTAGAGCAGGGTGGTCCCATTTTATGAACCAGCATAGAAATACTTCCTTTTACAAAGATCCACCGTAACTTCATGATTCCTGTAACATATTTCGTTCATTTTTGCAAGCGCCATAAAGTAATGGAGTGGGATTCAAGCAGTCAGACGAGTGCATTACAACATCTCTGCCATTTGAAACTGCATTTTCCAGCATCTCAAAGCCTTAAGGGACTCTTAAATTTTAAGAGTGAATTTTCTCCATGAACTAGCACAACTACAACTAACAAGCAAAAAAAAATATATAAATACTTTGCTTGTAGGCAGCAGAAAAGAAATAAAGAGCCTGAAAATCCACAATAAGATGGTTCAGATCTTAAGTAAAAGGATAGGGAGGGAGAAGAATAATACAGTGCTAGGGAAGAATTTATTTAGCAAGCAGCAGTGACAGTGGAAAGCAGAAAGCTCAGCATCTGTATGAAGTACAGATGGAAAAGCAGCATCAAAGGGAAAAAGCTCCTTTTCAGACAAACCTTACATGATCTGCAAGGGAGGGCTGCAATGCTCTGCAAGAGAATTTCTAACCTGCAAGAATCCATAGCCAAGGTGCAGTTTAAAAATAACCAGCCACAGAAACAGAATCTCCAGAAGATAACCTCTGATACTACCTCAAAAAAACCACAACACCGCTGTTGCAAATCAGTGTTTTTGTCCATTAATGCCAAAGATACTTAGGAAGAAGTATTTGGGCACTTACCTTGCCTAACCTTAAAGTGGCTCCACGAAGTGGCCCAACATTTTTTGAACAAACGTGTTGCAAAAGATTTCGGCGAGCGCTGCTGCCACAGCACCCTGTCCTGCCTCAGCCACCTCCACCTGACTGCAGGATCGTCTCCATCCCAGCACGGCTCTGGCATTCCCACCTCCTTCCTCTTCTGGCTGGTGTGTAACACTGCAGAGCACTTAAGCATGAAGCTGGCAGCACGTGGAGAACTGCAGCTTTTGCTGGTTCACAGCACATCACATCTGTCCCCTCATTCTCTGCGTGTGCTTCTCACACAGCCACTTCCAAGCCCTCCGGTCTCGTTGTCACTGTAAAGCCCAGGGCTCGGGATGCTGAAGTGAGCCCAAGAGACACAACCTCCCTGGCTCAACAGAGATTGCCCTAAAAATGGTGGGACTTGGCTGGGTGGGGGACAGGATTTCCTCCAGCAGAGCTGTGACTGCAGCAAACTCTCCCAGCTACTAAGGACACCTGGAAAGTTGTGGTTCTTCAGTCAGAATAGAGGAACCTTTCCCATATAGAGTCCGTGCCAACATTCCCTTCAGGAGAGGACAAGGGAGCAAAACCATATGACAGAGGATTGTCAACCATCAGATGCTTCCTGGTGCTGAGTGCTGAGTGCAGTGCAAGGTCCGGGACAGCCTGGGGCAGCTGCTGCTGCAACACTCTGCTCCTGGATGCAGAGCAATTGGAGCAATTTTGTGGGATATAAAAGGCTAACGAAGCCTCTTGCCCTGCTTGCACTCAGCCAGGTATGCAAGGCAGGGCTGGGAGAAAGAGCTGTGTAGGAGAAAGGGACTGGAGGGCTGAAGAGGGAGGTTTCCTGAGCAGCCGCTGCACTGACCCAAACAGAGAGATGCAGTTTGCTTCTATAATGCTCGGTGCTTGGTGCTAACTGAACCTTGCTGCCTGGTTTCTGTTCAGTTACCCCTTCAGTTCACGCTCTCCTTCCTACCAGCTCTCACCACAAGCCATCCTGAGGGTCTTCATCCCATCTCCTCTCCAGCCTTCCTAGCTGCAGGTCTCCCTTGCTCTCTTCTCCAAATTTCTGTTTCTCCTCTGTATTTCTTTTGTCACAGTAACCTCATCAAGTTGAACAAGTTCTTACCACAACTAACCCCAGGAAACACTCGTTTCATGCTCTTTAGCAGCGAAGGCAAGAGATGGGAGTGAGTTTGTCTGAGACAGCTGATTTTCATTCTGACCTTGAGAGCAACCTTCTGTCTCTCCTTTTTATTTTCTTTGCATCAAACTCTTCGTTTGCCTGAAGCCAAAGAAACACACTGTTATGTGAAGCAGTAACATCTTGCAAGCAAAGTATGCTGCAGAAGCTGTTAGCCTGATGCTGGATGGCAGATTTATGAGGCTGACAGGAAACAACGTGCTGGTGTGACATTAGATTACGACAAAATGGTTTTTCTTCTTTTAAGTGCAGGGAATAGAGTCAGCCCCTTGGAAAGGCCTTCTTGGCAGAGCTGTGCCCAGTAGCGTGGAGCAGGGTGGAGGAGAGCAGGTTGTGTTGACTGCAATGGCATTCAGTGACCAAACTCATTGACTTCCATCAGCAAAACAAGATCTCGCTGGGTGAGCCCCAGGTGACATCACGCGTTGCAAGACTCACTGAGAAGTTATTTAAGGACTTAGATGAAAACACAGAAAGCAGAAATGCAGAAGAGACCGCTCCGTCATGGGAAACATTCCAATGACAGAGTCTCAGGAGTGTTTTGTTTGATTTGCACCGAGCTGGAACTTCCACAAATTCTGCTGGGAAATTCTTACACAAGCTGATCCTTTCTGTGGTTTCCTCTGGCAAAGTGCAGACTGCCAGAGAGCCACTGTGTGCTTTTCATGCTAACAGTGAGCGTCCCATTTACCCGGAATGGCATTTGGCAAGGAGCTGGCAAGCAGTGGCCAGTCCTTTCTCCTCCACGCACAAATACAAGGCAGAAAATAACTCTTCCAAGACGCCATCTGAAGCCCCAAGTTGTCAGCTCCTCAGGCAGGCCAGGTCAGGTTTAGTAAATTCACAAGGAACAAAGCCGTTTTTCTACCCAGCCATCTCTCTATAGAAATCCCAGGCCAAATGGGGCTCCTGGGTAAGCCTGGCACAGCCGAGGTTTGCCCTAAGCGCAGCTGAAAGAAACGTTCCCTTTGCAGTTAGGGTCAATACTCTGCAGTGGGAATTTAGTCAGTAATTCTGCTAGCGAGCAAGGAAGGAAAGAAAAAAAGGGTATTTCAGCTCCCTGTAGCAGTATTGGCTCTGTGTTAATCCCAGTGGCAAGCAGAATGAAAACTCCTTATTTTGACGTGCAGCTATGAACTAGAAACACACATGAAGCAACCCTCTTCACAAAATGTGTTTTAAGAGACAGCAGAACAGCAGAAAGAAACTTTGACACAGCACACAGTTTCAGTTATCAGTCCCTGTTTCTGAAATGCTTAAGCTTCCAAACTTTCCAAGCTTTCTCTCTCTTTAGATGAACAAGTCTATCTGGATTATTTGAGGTTTGCAGAAAACATTTGGTATAACCCAGTGGCAGAAGGTAAGGAAATAAATAGCCCTCCCCCCAACTGTAAACTAACCTAAACTTCATCATCTTCATCTCTCTCTCCTTTTTTTTTTTTTTTAAGAAAAAGGGAGGAAGGGGTAAAAGGAAAGCAGGAAGCTGCCAGAAACAGCATCTTTGAACTCTACCTGAGAAGTCATCACTTTCTAGAAATGGTTAGTGCAATACGAGGAATAACAATCCCTTCTCTCAGGGAAAACAAAACAAAACAAAACAAAACAAAACAAAACAAAAATAAACAAAAAATGCATCCTTCAGGTCTGTTTTTCTCCCATTAAATGAAATTTGAAAGTCCTTTCTAACCTGTTTGGCTGATGCTGGCAAACACCACAGTTCAGATCTTTCCAACAGAAATAAAACTTCTTCTGACTGCTGTTCCATCACCTCACTACCATGCCAATGGGGGAAGCTTGCAATTCTTCCACTGGCAAGCAAGTTTTATCAGAAGATGCAAAAAAAAAAAGAGCCATGATAGGAGGAAGAACCTATGTATGACAAGCGCCAAAGCACAAGGAACACGACTGCACTAGGCAGGAGAGCCTAACATGGGTTAGAGCAACAGTTTTGGTGGCAGCATCTTTAGCCCCAGCCAGCAAACCAAAGATACATCCCAGGACCTCAGCAGGCTTATAGAGCTTGAGTTGAAATGTGGACTGGCACACGTGTACTGCTGTGGAAGAGGCCAGCAGCACGCACTCCTTACAGTTCTCCCATTTTAACTCTGGTTACGATGTAGACCTAAGTATAAAGCCAGTCGGATGTACAATACACTCACCCTAGCCCTTTACCAACCATCTGTCTGGAGACTGTAACAGATGCCAGGGAGGCTTTTTAAGAGGCATTAGTTTAAGAGCGTCACCTGCACGTCACAGTCCTTAATTCACTAGAAATCTTCAAGGTCGATGAGAGAGTAGGGCATTTTGAATCCCAGTAGCAGCTAGGTTCACGAGAAGATGCTTCTGGGTCAGCTCGTCCCAGCCCAGGTCTCTTCTAGGGCCAATTTTGTGTCTTACATCCTGCTCGTTAGTTTGTATTTGGATAAAAAAATAATAGTATTAAATGTTGCTATATACAGAGGAGATTGGTTCCTCCCAAAACAGAATTTATGATAATGAAAACTAATCAAAAATAATAATTTAAAGCAGAGGTTTGCTCACACATTTAGCTCCTGTCGAGGACCAAGGATCCACCAGATCTCTTCGCATTTCTGCACAGTTTCAAGGCAGTTTTAAATATCACATTCAAGTCAATCACTAATGCATGCTTTAAACCAACATCTCTGCTCCTCCACCACTTTTCCATGCTGTGTCCAAACTAGTGCGATTAAAAGGCCAGGGAGAGGAGAGGAGAGGAGAGGAGAGGAGA